TAATCTTAACCCCGCTTAGCGTATAGACTTCTTTATCGATCACCTCAGTATGAATTGAGGGATTTAGGTACACACGTAGGCCATATGCAACACGCGGGTAGAGCTGGGAAATGGAAACGAGTAAAACTGTTTAAAGAAAATTGGCCAATGCTCCCCAAAAGAACATTCCTGAAAAACCACAAATCGAAAATGGACAATGGACACATTTCATGAGCGAAATACCAGTATTTAACATGTTTAAATTACTGAAAGTAGTATTGCTTTGCTCCTCTGCAGCAAGGGCATCTTCTGGCGAGACCTCAACCTGCTGTTGACGAATTGTACTGATCCCTCGCCCCCCGAACAGAGGCCCTTAAAGGCCAGTCTACACAGTATGGGGTAGACCAGAATGTACGTACTGCTAGCTCCCGCCTGAAAAAAGGTGTAGTCACCTGGCTCTATCCGCCAGCATCCCCCCCGGCACTTGTTCGCAGGCTAGAAAATAAACCAATTCACTGACAAGTTCTTTTTCATAACGTCAAAATCCGTCGCGAAAATGAAAAAAATGCTTTAAAGTGCCTCAGCCATTTTACTTACTATCTTTTAACCAAATACGTTGCGGAGAAAAGAGATAAAAGGCTGAAAACAGCCTTTCATTTCGATTTAAAATTTCAGATGGAGAATGCCCTTTTCCTAGGTCTGCACCTGCAGTGACTTGTGTGCTAAAACTCCTTCGTGGTGGTATCTCTCGGGCAAAAACGACCGCCTAGCGGCGACGAGCGAGGAGAGAAGTCCGTGGCCATTTTCGAAAAGAAAAAGAAGTGTAAAGGTAGCACCTTCGTCGCTCAGAAAACGTCTGCGTATATAATTTTCTTCAGGCCGCACAGAGTCATCAATTAATGTGCCTTTACGGACCCCTTTTAAATGAGCAGCCAGCATGGCCAGTAGGCTGTTCTGAAACGGTACAACGTGCTTTGTTCTCCCCCACCCGGAACCAAACATTTAGCGGTGGTGAGGAAAAACTTTTCGTTTTATGCGCCAATTTTGTGGATCAAACAAAGTCTGTTAGCTCTAAATGTAGTGATAAAGACATGAATTTTTGTATGTGTAGGGTTGATCCTAAAGGAGAACCCAATGCCAACCAACCCACCCATCTCCTCCTCCTTCCCTAAAGAAGACTTTTCATGACGTTAGCATAATCACCTGAGACCTCTTGTAAAGTTCACTAAGTAATATATCAAACATGAGATGCAGTGTTTCATCACCAGATGAAACACCGACAAGAGAGTTGAAAATACGACGCGCAGCGGAGTATTTTTGACGAACTTCGAGGTGTTTCATCTGGTGATGAAACACTGTGTCGAATGTTTGATATTTCTTCTCAAACAAAATCATTTTTGAAGGAGAAATTAAGGATGCAAATACTAAGCAGTGTTTCATCCGATTTCCAAACACTCATTAAACATTAATTTCCTTTGTATTTTCTTAATGAGTTATTAATGAGTTTGAGAAAATAATAGCAAGCACCTTCGTAGCCTGTTCACAGACCCTCTACTTTTTCATTAGAGATCGTCGATCTATTTTCTCTTTGGAGATCGTCGATTTTGCGTATGAAAATAAAAGCCGCGGGGGATTTATTGACCAGTAGAGCAAGGGGCTCTCTCTCGCGTGCTCGTCTATTTTCGAAACGAAAGAGGAGTGTAAAAGCTGCACATTCGTCGCTCAGAAAACATCTGCGTGTATCATTTTCAGTTCAGGCCATACGCAGTCATCAATCAATGTGCCTTTATGGACCCCTCTATGAGCAGGCAGTAGGTTGATCTAGAACGGCACCACGTGATTTGTTGCACCTCTACCCGGAACCAAACATTTAGAGGTGGTGAGGAAAAACTCTTATTTTCATGCGCCAATTTTGTGGATCAAACAAAGATCACCTAACGTAAATGCAGAAAACCTTACTTTTATCATTAGCATGGTAGGGTCGATGTTTGGTTATTGCCTTACATACTCACGTGACTAACAAGTCAGGAGCATACCAAGTGACTCAGGACATCTTTTCTATGATTGCAATACATTCAGCATTACTGGGGCCACAGGCGCCACAAACCAAGTTTGAATATGTGCGAGATGCTATACGAACATACAACAAAGACTTGCACAGTAAAACACTTAAACCAGGAATTTCTTTTTCGGCGCGTTACGCGTCACGCACTTCCAGAATGTCATCTTCCTTCGTGTTGACAGATTGAAAACATATACAAACTTAACTTCGATTTTGCCGTGATGCAGAATTTAGTTAGCGGTACTGTGACCCCGTCTAGTATTTAAATTCAGGTAAGTAAATAACTTTTCTGATATGAAGGTTTCAATACGATTAAAACTATAGCAAGCGAGTATTTCGACAATATTCCCCTCTACTAACTGTGATTTGAACTGCGTATTCGTCTCTTCATTATGGTTTATCGCAAAAATCAGTTGAAAGGAATCATGTTAAACCGAACAGAAACGCCGAAATATAATCTGAAACCGTTACAACTCTGACTAGGGTTTAAATGTCGAAGTAACTTAGGTTTGCGAAGGATTAATATTCCAAGCGTTGAAACTTGCTTGTTGCACGCGCTTTCCTGGTGTCAAAATACCCTTCAGGTTTTGGTCCCTCGACGGTGTGCATTTGGAATGCCGCCAGAAATATTTTAACACAAACAACAGCAAAGGATAAAAGGATATGCTTCAATACAGTTCTTGTTTCATATTGAAATTCCGTGTACCAACTGGGTTTTCACGATGGTGAAGTTAGGTCAAATTTGCCATTTTTGAAAAGTGCTGAAACCGTGATTCTTCTTGCGGCCGGTACAGTCACATTTAAACGGTTTATTTAAAGTTAACTGCTGAATTATAGAGTAAAAATATGTGTCTGTTTTGTGACTTGATTTCATCTAGAGATATTATTCCGTTTTTATGTACGAGCGCGAAGAAAATGCTCAATTTTCGCTAATCTCATACTCGAAAGAACGCCGATTTAGAGTTTTTCAAACTTGGCCTGATTCCTGAAAAAATAAAAATCTGTTACAAGTTTTAACGTGATTTTTGAAATTAGTGTACTATAGAGATTATTTGAGCAAAATATGAAGAAATTCAAAAATTCACGACTGTCAACCGATTCTCGAAAATTACAGACATTGGCGCTTAAGAAACATTACATTAGAAGTTGAATTTTTCGCTATTTCTCTTTCACTTTTTACATTCAGTTCATTTTATTTGCCGGAAAGTAAGCCTTAGAAATTAAAAGGCTGTTTGATCAATTCACGCTCGCGCATTCTAGTCTTATTTTAAACGTTATAGCGGAAGGACATCTGTGAGCAGGGACTAAGTCAGCACAGAATTTGGTTGTCGAATTTAATTTCTGTAATCGTCCATCGTTCTGCTAGTGATAAGCGAGCCGTTGTTCATTCGTCTCGTTTGTTTGGGGCTGAGTCTTGTTCCGGTCAGAGAGAGAGAAAGAGTGTCTGGCAAGGTTTCCAATCAAAGATTTGTGAACTCGTGTCTGGCAAACTCTCCAAGTGTTTATATATACACAGTTATACGCACCTTATAACTTCATCTGCGCTTAACGAGTGTCTTTTGGTCCATAACTTTCAAAACAACTGCTCCACAGAATGTCACTGATAACACGTAACGCAAAAGAGTATCAAAGTATGACTGTACAATAAATGTCACAAAATCTACCTAAGCGGTCCCTTCGGGATTTTCTGTCTTTACGTCATCCTAACCATTTCGTACTTGCGGGCGCAAACAATAGAAACGTCATCATTACCTACCAATCCTCGCGGTCCCTGTTCTGGCAAATCGAGATTTTTTCTGGCATACTGACGGTATATTTCAACTGTAAGTATTTTCCTTAATATACGCACCAGTTACTTGAGTGCCTCCTGCGGGGTAATGAGCGATAAGTTTCGCGTCGGAATGTTTCTCGGTCAACAGCATTAAATTTCACGGAGTTTCTCCACCGGTGTATTATGTTAGCACCCGCTAATTCTTTGTTATTGTTTTTAATTTGTTAAATGATTTCTTTGTCAAGATAAGGGGCTTTATCCGGAGGTTATATATTAACAGAAAAACACAAGGAGACAACGCTGTGTTGTCATAGTTACTCGTCTATCTCTGGCAAAATCGCCAGATTACCCAATGCCATTGAAGGCAAAACTGGACAATGTTACGGCTTATGTGGGCATACCCTACATGTGGGTATGTGCACAATTTGGCGATGTCATAATTCCTTTATTTTTTGTTGGCAGGAAAAATTTCTGAGTTTAAAGATAATCAAGAGTACAAATGTCCAGTTTACAAGACAAGTGAGAGACGAGGAACCCTGTCCACTACAGGTCACTCAACCAATTACGTGATGCCTGTCATGCTGCCTACTGACAAACCACAAAACCATTGGATAAAAAGAGGCGTGGCACTGCTCTGCCAGCTTGACGACTAATCAGCCTACTTACCCCGTTACATACAGGAGCTGCATTGGTGTTTTAATTCTGTTCTTTTCTTGTACTAGACCCTACGGTGAATGCCTGCCCAGTTATACCGCAGGGCGTCGAAGAAACTCCACTCTTCTTTTGACATCCTAAGTTCTTAACACTGAATAGAGTGTTCTGTAAATAGTGATTCATTTATTTTTGTGACCATTGTATGTACACTTACAGTTTTAGGGTTGTAAATATTGTGTTGCATAGTAAAAGAAATAAAGCTGTTTGAACGTAAGTTTAAGGTTTCGTTCATCATTGTACTTCTATTAAGCAGTCAAGCAATCTTTCATACACCACCCTTCTTTGTTGATTCTATGAGGGAGGCATTGAGATTGCAAATAATCATATTGAACAAAATTGCTACATGTTTTGTACCTGTTTTTCTTTTGGGGTAATAAAATTTAACTTAATACCATTTATGTTTTTAAAAAGAAGAGTGTAATAACATCACAGTCTGATAATAAACTTGAAAGTGGAATGATTTGATTGCTGTATTTACTCTGGTGCGCTTAAATGATTCTTCAGTTTATTCTTGTCTTTAACAGTACACGCTAAACATTTGCATGTTCTGCTTGTGTGATCTGGGTGCTCAGCTGTAAAACGTGAATGATTTCCTACTCGGAGATATCTGCATTCGCGAATCTCCTCGTATAGTTTCGTAAGCTCTATCATGGATAGTTTGTTAATGTCAGTTTTTTTCTTTTTTCCTGTGATTTTTGTCAGTGACTCTCGTACTTTCTTCCACTGTTCTTTGGCTCGCTGGTTTGTGTTGTCTGTTGGCGTAATGTCAGGAAGCAGGTTACCACTAATTAGACTGTGTTCTTGATGGCTGGTGTATCCTGTCTCTTCCGTTATACCTGGCATGACTTGTTTAGAGCTTTTCTCCTCATTAGTCTCTAAATCTGTTGCTTGGTGATGAACGTTAGAGTGGTCAAGGAGCTTCTTGTCAGTCGTCAAATCAACTTTGCCCGTCTTTTTAACCATTCTACTAGAGAGGTTGTGTTTGTATCCGCGTTCATTGGTAGTAAAACTAGTAAGCGGCTGTCTGTGATCGCTTATTCGTCGTGTCCGTTTGTTTTCTTGGAAGAATTGACTAGTGTTTGCTAAGGTTATTACTGGTGGCAACAACCCCGATGTGGATATTTTCTTTCGTCTACCGTCAGTCTTGTTATGTGCTGTAATGCTCGGAAGTACAACGTCTGCAGGAGACCTACTCCTATTAGCGTCTGCTAAGCTGACTGGTGCAACAGCTCGCACCAAAGTGATGCGTCTTTCACGTGGTTTGGTTTGTGTTGTGTCATCGTTTTTGACGTTTTTTGTCTGAAAAGCTTCATCTAGTTGCATGGCTGGTACAAGGTTCTGTTTGGCTCGAAGGAATTTTTCTTGTTTTAAGGACCACGTATTAAAGCTTCTCCTACATTCTCGTTGTATCGTGTTCATTGTAGTTCGTAGATCAGTCTCTTTACTTTTGTTGATACTCACAGCTCGCCGGAGTGAGTTGCTAACTTTTTCAAGTGGGTCTTTAAGCTCGTTGTTCATGTTTTGTCCTTCTTAATATTCGGCAGGCTTACGATGATCGGATTTGGGTCAGTTCCAAAGACAACCCTTGGCAACAACTCTTGATCGTTTACCTGGATCTGATTAGACTCACTACGATTACGCGACTTAGGAATTAGCGTTTTTTATTAAAAAGTTATCATTTGTCTGTTTGTCTGTTTGTATAGTCCTTTTAGAATAAACAGTGATCTTTTGGAGCATATTTCTGTCACTCAGAAACAAAACGGCCAAAAATCTGAAAGCGCAAAAATGCTTGACCTTTATCCTATAAGCTCTAAGTCCTCTGATAATCCTTTTTGTAATTATTATGGATAGGTAAGAATAAGAGGTGTTTTAATTTGTCGGCGACCGTCCTTTGTGGTTACTTGTTCTTTCGTTCATGGATCAACATTGTGATAATAATTACAGTAGCGTTAAGAGTTGCAAAAACTTAAATGCCGGATCTCGTTAAAAAACTTAGTGTGCTGTATCAGTGGTAATCGCCAGAACCCAACATCTGTCTCCCCCAAAGCTGGCTCTTTGGCTTGGGCGTACGCCTCGAGGGCCCCAGTCTCATAAAACGCCGACCGTTGAAAACTGAGTACGGTATTTAAAGACATGTCACGAAAAAAAAATCATAATAGCTTTCTGGGAGATGAGTCAACACACGTGGTAGAAAATTAAAAAACAAAAAATTCCACCCAGCCTAAGTATATGGTCGTCTAGATGTTTCAGTAAAGGGAGCTTAAGCAACTATGAGGACGACCACAACGACGACTTAAGAAAAACAATAGGTTTAATGATCAAAACAACAGCTCTGCACGTGCATCACGCTTTTTAGTACATTTCTTTGACGTTCACTGTACGACCACGACGTGAAACCTTCTAATTTGACGTTTTAAGGAGGACGTGGACATACGACGACGAATTTTCCTTCCTCTTTTTGAACCTGAGTAAACGCCTTAAGAATTCAACTCCAGGAAAAGTCGCCTGCATTTGACATATTGAGCAGGTCCAAATAGACGCGATTAAGTTTGAAAGAACGCAAATTCATTTTTTTAGCGACGTTTTCAATGCCGTCGTCGTCGTCCTTGCTTAAGGTCCCTAATTCGCTAAAACTCATTCGCTGTCGCTATAAACTTATTCGATCGCGATCGCTAAAATCCATTCGCTGTTCCTCAAACTAATTCGCTATCGCTAAGATCCATTCGCTATCGCTAAAACTCATTCGGTATCGCTAAAATCCATTCGCTGTCGGTAAAATTCATTCGCTGTCGCGAAAACTCATTCGCTATCGCTAAAACCCATTCGCTGTCGGTAACATCCATTCGCTGTCGCTAAAACTCATTCGCTGTTGCTAAAATCTATTCGCTGTCGCTAAAACTCATTCGCTGTTGCTGAAATCCATTCACTGTTGCTAAAACTCATTCGCTGTTGCGAAAATATATTCGCTGTCGCTAAAACTTATTCGCAATCGCCAAAAACCATTCGCTGTCCCTATAATTAATTTGCTATCGCTAAAATCCATTCGTTGTCGCTAAGTAATTCTTCAACGGATACAAGGACGGTTAAAAACCCCTGGAGGATCGGCCTCGCTTTGTTCACACAAAGACAAAACAAATCTGAGCAGCGAGAGTAACCAGCAGAGATCAGGTCCAATTTTAGCGATTCTCATACATTCTCTCTAAACAAACCGCCAAGTCGCCATTAGCCCAGTCCAAGGCACTGGGAGTGAAAGGTGCCCTCTCCAGATCGCGCGCGTCTTATTTCCCTTTGGCTTGTTTTATTTTTTACTTCTTAGAACCTATCAGGCCGTTAGCATTACATCCCATCGGCCTAAATCCCCCTCCCCTCGGACACTTCAAGAAGTTAACACAATTGCAACGAAGTATTACTAATCACTTCGGTTTCGAGCACAGGGTTAAGTTAAGCAATACTGATTAGGGTTAAGCTCTTGCAAGAGAGGATAAGCCCTGAAAATAGTGATTAGGGTTAAGCACTGACTCGAAACGGTCAGCGTCTATTTAAGTTTAGGGTTGTTGGGAGTTGTTGCTACATAGGTTCAAATCAAACCATTGCTTTGTCGGCCTAGTGGTGTAGGTAATGCGCCACAGACTCTACACCCCGAGTTTCACACTCACGCTATTCGGATTTTTTTCTTAAAAATTAATTGAAGAGACTTTATTATTCTCCGAATCTCATGAATAAAATAATTCTAGAATAGAATAATAGCTATACTGAAACCACCGCGAGGCGGGGAGTGCTGGCAATAGGCGCGGATTCGACGTGAAATCCATTCTCTTGGTGAGAGGTTTCATCGAGAACACTTGCTCGGGGGACGGGACAATTGAGCAGTTTTTTTCGGCAGTAAGACTGAGAGGGGAGTAGCTACATAGCGACATCCTTTCTGAATCCCCTCAGACACCCTGAATTGACTATTTCCCAGCAACACGTTCCTTTCAAGGACATGGCATTGTTTCCAAATCTCCCGGCCCGGCAAAAATTTGCTTGAAGAAAAGACATTTTGAGGAAAAGATCCATTGGGTGCCCCTGTAAATAGTTCGTAGAGAGGCGAAGATGACCCAAAACAAGGATACGAGTAGACTGGGAAGTATATAGGTCATATAGTGACAAAATAGCTGTCGTAGATAAAAAAAAAAAAAAAAGAAACGAAAAAAGGATTACTGCTGAATTAAATAGCTGAAAGAAAAACTGAACCGTTCAGTAAAAGAAATACAGCAACCAAGGAAAGTAATCACCGTAAGCGTTAGCTGAATTGTAGATGGACAAAAGATTTATGAATTTCATCAAGAGTTGATTTCATTAAAATCTCTATAAATAAAATCATTGATCAACACGAATAAGGCAGCGTCTTTGGTTGTACGAAAGCCTAGACGGGTTATTTTTATTTTTCCAGCGAATGAGTTTTAGCGATAGCGAATGGATTTTAGCATGAGCCGCGAATAAGTGTTAGCAACAGTGAATGGATTTTAGCGATACCAAATGAGTTTTAGCGATGGCGAATGGATTTTAACAACAGCGAATTAGTTTTAGGGACAGCGAATGGATTTTAGCGACAGCGAATGGATTTTACCAACAGCGAATGGATTTTAGCGATACTGAATGACTTTTAGCGATAGCGAATGGATTTTAGCAACAGCGAATCAGTTTTAGCGACAGCAAATAGATTTTAGCAACAGCAAATGAGTTTTAGCAACAATGAATGGATTTTAGCGATTGCAAATGAGTTTTAGAGACAGCGAATAGCGGATTTTAGCAACAGCGAATCAGTTTTAGCGACAGCGAATGGATTTTAGCTATACCGAATGAGTTTTAGCGATGGTGAATTTAGTTTTAAGGACAGCGAATGGACTTTAGCAACAGGGAATGAGTTTTTAGCGACAGCAAATGAGTTCTAGCGACAGCAAATGAGTTCTAGGGAGATGAGTTCATTTCTTGGATGAAGTCATCCAAGATAACAAGTGTTAATTAAATAAACAATACTTGGTCAAGTACATCCTAAGAAAAACTAGTGGTAGGTGAAATGATCGAGTCTATTGGAGAAACTGGATATCAGTTCAGTGGAAGTAACAGGGGCACCCAACGGCAATTTTCGGGAAAATATCTGTTCGGAAGGCGATTTGAGATCTAGAATTTTCGGAGCATTTGTTGTAACATTTCTTGCTCGCCTGCCTCTCCTAGGATTTTCGAACATCTACAAAATGGTATAATTACTCATTTTTAACGGATTTTGACCCTAAAAAAGGCCACCTAGAATTTTCGGGAGCCTTTTCCTGGCTGAAATTTTCGAGAGGGTAAGTTTTTATCCCTATAATTTTCGGATCACTAGATTTTCAGCTAAGAAATCCGAACAGATGAAAAGTTTTTAGGGGATAAAGATATGCCTATATCTACCGTTTGAATACTAAAATACGTTCAACAATGCTATGTTAGGTGGTTTTGAACTATATCCTCGTTGGGTGCCCCTGAAGTAATCTAGTTGTTCTTTGCTTGAAACCGTTGTAAATGAGGACGTACAACTGAATAGGTTTGACCTTCTGCTAGCCTGACAGTCTAACGTCTGTTCGGTCAGTACAAGCATGAAAGAGACCTGTAAAGCTCGAAAGAGCGCCCGCCTCATCCCCAACCCGCCATCAACGATTCTTAGCCGATAGACTTTTGTGCCTGCACCACAGACGGAACTATCATGTTTATTGGGGTATTATTTCAAATTCGTGGCAGGTATCAAGCTCAAATTGGGCACAGACAAACTATATTCATAAGATAAGACATTTGTTGCTCGGACTTCCAAAGAAAATGCCCGAGCTTTTTTAAAAAAAGGACTCTTTTTTGTTCTGGCACAAATCGCTCCCTGGCGTATACAGCGCGTGTTGATTATTTACCTTACAATTAACAAATAGATTCCATGTTGCCGTGCGTCTGTTCAGTAATTCTCGGTTTTCACTGTCACGCAATCAAAAATAAAATTGCAAACCATTCAATACAGAAAGTCTCGAATCTAGAAAATAAAAGAAGATAAATAAGCAAAAGGCCTCGCCAAGAATCAGGTCTGTGCGATATTTCATATGCGAGATATTAGGAAAAATATTTTACCCAAATTTAGAAAGCTTTGTATGGAGACGCCATGTTTGTGTCCCTTTGCGGGGCACAAATATGGCCGCCGGAAACCAACAGAAACATCTGTTTTTGAGTTTTCCTACTAATGCGTTAATTCATCGCTTGAAAAACTCATAAACTATTAAAGTGATATTTATTCTGAGACAAGGAATGTTTAGACAGCAAAATCTCCCAAAATTGGTAATGTTTTTAACCCACATAAGAGCCGTTGTGGCCGCCAGCTAAATGCCGCGTCACGCAAAAGCCTAGAAATTCAAACGTCCTCTATCGCAAAACGAAGAACCCTTTCGAACCAAAACTCTCTTTAAATAAAGGTGTTTAGGTGCTGTAATACCTCATGAAACTCAGAAACTCAGAAGAATCGA